GCCTGGACCTGGCTATAGGAATGTCGCATCTGGCCTCGTGTGTGTACTATCGCCTCATGCACGCGGCCGTCCCGCCAGGCGGCGTGGTCTGTGTCTGTCTGCCTTGTGCGCCATTCACGTACTCCCCGCACCGCTGGTCCCAGGCTGGCCAACAGTGGCCGTGCGTGGTTGGGTGCGTGCGAAAATCATGCACTTTTGCTTGAGGGCGGCTGCCTCGTCTTTGGATTTACTCACTTACCTGGCGTACATCACACACGGGCTGATGTTGGGCGCCCGCGCCCAATGCCAGGCTCTGCAGCAGAGCGACTGCTCTGCAGGGTCTCTCTGACCCACGTCTGACTGCGCCCCCCCTTTTGCCCGTGTGTCAGAGCTCACACGTCCCCTTGTGCGTGCAGGCATGCACGCACTCTTTTATGTAAAGCGTTTGGATCAACCCCTCTTCAGGCCTCGATCGAGGGGCTGCTCAATCAGTTGCACCTGGGGCGGCGCGTCTTCACCTGCCTCGCGCACCTGCCGAGCAGACACGAGCCCAGCACACGAGGACTTTTTCATGTGCCGCCCTCGTCTGAGCCCTTTCACAGCGAGCGGTTGAGCGTGCCTTTTGCTTTTCTTTTGTATTCAGAGAGCAGGGCAAGCCGGCCGCCGTTCCAGGGCCGATCTCTTCTGACGCAAGGAGCCTTCCAAGCCTATTCCCTTTGTTCTACGGCAGGGATTACAGGAATAGCAGCGGCCTCCGCGAGCTCAGGGAGGGGGCGAGGCCCCGGTGGGCGCAGGCAGCAGGCATGGCGGACAAGGCGCAGCAGGATGAGACCGACAAAAATATCGAGATGTGGAAGGTCAAGCGGGTGAGTGCGAGCGTCCATCCCTGTCCAGTGCATGCGCGAGGGCCGGCGCAACCGCGCGCGATGGCCCACTGCAGCTGCAGGGCGTGGCGTGCATCTTGTTGATGGGCGTGCTCGAATCAGCTCTGTGCAGTGCAGCAGCTGTTGTACCTCGTGCAGTGTCATGAGCGGCAGCACGCGGCGCAGTTCTGCACAGCAATGCTGCTGCACGCACACCCGCCCTCATCCCTGCCTGCCCTGCGCGGCTTGGCTGCGAATTTGCATCTCGCATTCGCAGCTGATCAAGGGCCTGGAGATAGCGCGCGGCAACGGCACAAGCATGATCAGCCTGATCATGCCGCCCAAGGATCAGGCGCGTGGCTGTGGCAGGCCCGGGCCCGCCCCGCACCCTGCGGCGACGGCGTGGACCTCGTGTGCGCACTGCAAGGCACCCTGGACGACGGACGGCCGGCGGACAACTCTGCCATGCCCACTACCATGCAGTGGGCTTGTTTGTGGCAGCCACGGGCGTTGATCAGTGCGCCTCGGTGCATCCAGCCGCTGGTGCCCAGCAGCCGCCCGTGCACGCGCAGACTGAGTGCAGCTCCTTCCTACACCCCGCAGATCGCGCGTGTGCAGAAGATGCTTGGAGACGAGTACGGCACAGCCTCCAACATCAAGAGCCGAGTCAACCGGCTCTCGGTGCTCAGCGCCATCACTTCGGCGCAGCAGCGGCTCAAGCTCTACACCAAAGTGCGCGGCAGCGGCGGCGCGGTGGCGCCAGCACGCGGCGTCTCGCGAGGCTCGCCGCCCATTTGCATGACCGCGCGGCGGTGGAAGAGCCTGCGTGGCGGGGCGGGATTCACACCGCAGCCGCGCGTGCGGAGGAGGGATGCGAGGCGGCCCCTTCCTCCTCCGCCCAGCGCCCCAATCAGGCGCCCGCCGCGCTTGGTGCTGCTGCTGACCCCCTCTGGTCCCTCGGGCCCCCCTCTCGCCCGGCCCCCAACAGGTGCCCCCCAACGGCCTGGTGCTGTACACGGGCACCATCCTGACGGACGAGGGCAAGGAGAAGAAGGTCAACATTGACTTTGAGCCGTTCAAACCCATCAACACGTCGCTGTACCTCTGTGATAACAAGTTCCACACGGAGGCGCTGGCGGAGCTGCTGGAGAGCGACAACAGGTGGGGGGAGGGGGGGGCGCGCGTGCGAGTGCGTGCGCGTGTGTATGTGTGTGTGTGATGGGGTCGTGTGTGTTTGTGCCAGGGGGTGTCAATGGCTGAACGTTGGAGGGAGGGAGTAGAGTTAGAGGAACGTCGCGCCCCTGTGTGAGAGGCCCGCAGGCCTGCGTCTCAGGCCGGGGCTCGATCGACGGGCGCCCGGCTCACCCTCACCCCCCCACAC